TGAGGGGCTGAGGGCCGTTTTCAGGCTGGCCACAGCCCCTTCAGGGTAGGAGTCCCCCCTGGGGTGCCTGGCCAGCCTGGGTGAGGGACTGAGGGCCATTTTCAGGCTGGCTAAGCCCCTTTGTGGGGACCCTCACCCCATGACTGTGTGGCCAGCCTGGGTGAGGGGCCGATGTCCGTTTGCAGGCTGACCAACCCCCCAGCGGGGACCCTCACCCCATGAGGGTGTGGCCATCCTGGGTGAGGGGCTGATGGATATTTGCAGGCTGGCCACAGCCTCCAGCCACCCAAGCTCCCAGTGGAGGTAGGCTGGAAGCAGGTATCTGGGATTTATTTGTCTTTTATAATTGAAACTTTGTTGCCATGAGCGGAGGCCACAGCTGGCTCAGGGCAGGCAGGAAGCTTGGCTTCCTCTATCACCCGGGCAACCACACCTCCTGCTTGCTCCAGCTACGTGACTGACAGCCGCCATCTTGGTTTGATTAATTTGCATATAGTTGCTCTGATTGGCTGGTGGGCATGGCTTAGGGCATAGCAAAGGTACAGTCAATTAGCATTTTTTCCTTTTATTAGTGTAGATACTTTTATTGATTTCAGAGAAGAAGGAAGAGGGAGACAGAGATAGAAACATTATTGATGAGAAAGAATCATTGATTGGCTGCCTCTTGCAAGCCCCCCACTGGGGATGGAGCCTAGTCCACAACCCAGGCATGTGTCCTTGACCGAAATAGAACCTGGGACCTTTCAGTTCGCAGGCCGACACTGTATCCACTGAGCCAAACCAGCTAGGAAGAACATTTCCTTCACCTCAGAAGTCCCCCTGTGTCCCTTTCCAGTCAAATTCCTTCTATGGACAAGCACTTTTTGATTTTTTTATCACTAGTTTAACAGTCCTGGGCTTTTATTATTTATTTGTTTTTTACTTATTGATTTTTGAGAGAGAGAGAGAGATTATTGTTCCCACTTATTTATGCATTCATTGGTTGATTCTTGTATGTGCCCTGACCAGAGATCGAACCCAAAACTTGGCATATCAGGATGATGCTCTAACCAACTGAGCTACCCAGCCAGGGCCCATCATGGGCTTTAAAAATTTTTTATTTTCTCATAATGTATCCTGGGCGTTAGATGTCACTAAATTAACATATCCATTTAGGGAAGAGAAAAAAAATAGATGATCAAAAGCTTCAGTCAATTGAAACACAATTATACAGCAGCATATTAATGCCAAGCAAATCAGGCACCAAATGCCAGGCTGCTGAAACGGAAAGCTATTGAGTTGCTTCTCCCCGGGAAGGCCTTGGAGCCATAGCTGCTGCTGCAGTGGGATGAAGACATATTTGCAATTTTTGAATGACTACATTTTTGATATAAGAAAATAAGAATGCATGGTCTGGCGGGTTTGACTGCACTCATTTTGATGTAGTGTGCAATATTCGAAAGCAAGATTTTTCTATCAGACTTACTAATGATTGCTGTTAGCCACGTGCAGCTGGACAAAGTTGGTCAATCAGGGAACTTGCTGTGATAGCATTAAGCAGACAAGGAACCTTATCCAGTGTAATTTCCCCAGACACCAGTGCCTTAAAGTGCAGGGAGAAAAGTTATGGTGATTGAGAGTAAAGTTTTATCTTCCTGTGTGGAAGAAACGTCGGTGAGCATATTTTACTGTAGATTTTGCTGGAGACAATAAATCAAAAGCAAACCCCACCATACTAAAAGATGGATGACTATTTGCTCTGAGAAGTCACCATAATTGTAATAAACTGTATCTATTATAAAACTTACATGTTAATCTTAGATGCATTGTCTGAATATGGCAAATGGTTGCATCATTAATATCCTACAATTCAATTTAACTCATATATATGTCCATATATAATTGTTAATGAATTATAAAAAGACTACATAGGCAGGTTAGAATCTCTGACCATGTCGATGAGCGATGGCACCACACAGAC